ACTGTAATCAAGAGCTTGGATATCATAATCACTATCATTACCACTGCTCACATCTGAGTCCTGGACATGGGAAAATATGAGTTTCCTCTTTTGCTCTGGTACAACTGAACGTGAACAAGATGGGCCAGCACCTGAGGTTGAATTGAGGGTCGTCTGGGCTTTCAGGACTATTTTCGGTATCCTGGGCACTGCTTTCAGTCACAGACTCCTCGAAACCATGAAATTCATCTTCACTGACACTTCCATCTGTGTTAGAACTATCAGTTGGGTAAAGAAGAGTCCCAATTTGCCGGGGAGTGAGGTATTTCTTAGTGTGAGGAATGGTAAACAAGGCGTCCTGAAATGGCATTCCCACAATGCACCACTGACTCCCCAATTTTTTATACTGTGCACACTGAGCATGCAGACTCATTCTCTCACGTGTATGCCTACCAGCTTTCTTCCGCTAGATTTGAAGCTGCTAGAATTTTGACATAGTATTACAGGACCAACACTGGCTTGCAAGCCATAATATCACAGGACTGACAGTGAAATAAGTGAATATAGGAAAGAGTAAGGTGATGAGGACAACAAGAAATTTAGATAATGAAAGATTGTATATCAGATACGATGGGGAGAGAGTATGGAGGAGGTGAACATATTTAGATATTTGAGAGTGGATGTGTCAGTAGATGGGTCTATGAAAGATAAAGTGAGTCACAGAACTGATGAGGAGAAAAGTGAGTGGTGCACTGAGGAGTCTGTGGAGACAAAGAACATTATCCATGGAAGCAAAGAGGAGAATGTATGAGAGTACAGTTATACCAATGCTTTTATATGGGTGTGAAGCATGGGTGGTGAATGTTGCAACAAGGAGAAGGCTAGAGGCAGTGCAGATGTCATGTCTGAGGGCAAAGTGTGGTGTAAATATAATGCAGAGAATTCGTAGTTTGGAAATTAGGTGGAGGTGTGGGGCTGTTGAGGTGGTTTGGACATGTAGAGAGGCTGGAATGAAACAGAATTATTTGGAGAGCATATAAATCTGTAGTGGAGGGAAGGTAGGGTAGGGGTCAGCCTAGGAAAGGTTGGAAGGAGGGGATAAAGGAGGTTTTGTGTGCAAGGGGCTTGGACTTCCAGCAAGTATGTGTAAGCATGTTAGATAGGAGTGAATGGAGACAAATGGTTTTTAATACTTGTCATGCTGTTGGACTGTAAGCAAGGTAACATTTTTGAAGGAATTCAGGGAAATCGGCAGGCCGGACTCGAGTCCTGGAGTTAGGAAGTACAGTGTCTGCACTCTGAAGGAGGGGTGTTAATGCTGCAGATTTATAACTGTAGTGTAAGCATGCCTCTGGTATGGAGTGAATGATGATGAAAGTTTTTATTTTTCGGGCCACCCTGCCTTGGTGGGAAACAGCCGATGTGTTAACAGAAAATTGACTAGGGGTGCAAGAGAATAAGATATGACTTGAGGCTTGTGCCATTGCTAAAAAAGGTTGACAACCACTGCTGCAAGCCAACATACTCTAAACCTAACTATTGGAACTTCTATGTATATATATAAGAAGTGTGGATATTTTTTATTTTAAGCTTCATGGATTTATTTCACCCCAGTTTGGTATAAATGGATACTTTATTATTATTATTATTATTATTATTATTATTATTATTATTATTATTATTATTATTATTATTATTATTATTAGTATGGTACCTGGTACTGTACATTCATGAGGAAATACCTTGATTAGATTTTCTGACAATCTGGTCATTAAATTTATATAGGATAAGTCACCAGACAGCTGACTAACTTAACTAACCTATAGACATCTTTATTATGACTGAAACTGACTGTGCAGTTAGGTTTTTATCTGAGTATTTTAATCACATGACCCGGTGGCCTGGTGGCTAAAGCTCCCGCTTCACACACGGAGGGCCCGGGTTCGATTCCCGGCGGGTGGAAACATTCGACACGTTTCCATACACCTGTTGTCCTGTTCACCTAGCAGCAAATAGGTACCTGGGTGTTAGTCGACTGGTGTGGGTCGCATCCTGGGGGACAAGATTGAGGACCCCAATGGAAATAAGTTAGACAGTCCTCGATGACGCACTGACTTTCTTGGGTTATCCTGGGTGGCTAACCCTCCGGGGTTAAAAATCCGAACGAAATCTTATCTTATCTTATCTCTTATCTTCTTTCCATATGCCAAAAAAATTAAATACATTATCATAAAGTATAAAAAAGAAGATAAAGAAAAAGAAAACATTCATGAAAAAAATGATATAAGACAACTGATACACACGTTAAAGATATGGAGACACAGGGGCATTGTAAGGGGGGGCCTGCCCCAGGTGACACCATTTAGGGGGGTGACACCATAGAGCCTCTAAAGAAGTGACACTAATGCCCAAAACAGTGCTGCACCAGCATAAGAGAAGAATCCTTTGTATTTAGAGCCTATTATATATTAAAGTACAAATAAGCCTATACAGTGGACCCCCGCTTAACGATCACCTCCCAATGCGACCAATTATGTAAGTGTATTTATGTAAGTGCGTTTGTATGTGTATGTTTGGGGGTCTGAAATGGACTATTCTACTTCACAATATTCCTTATGGGAACAAATTCGGTCAGTACTGGCACCTGAACAGTGGAACCTCAAAAATCGAACTGCTCCCAACACAACCAATTATGTAAGTGTATTTTTGTAAGTGCTTTTATAAGTGTATTTTTGAGGGTCCGAAATGGACTAATCTAATTTACATTATTCCTGATGGGAATAAATTCATTCGGTAAAGGCAATCGAACAGCCTTCTGGACCAAAGAAAGTTCGATATTTGAGGTTCCACTGTACTTCTGGAATGAAAAAATATCGTTAACCGGGGGTCCACTGTATAGGGAAAATCATTGATTTTGATGATGTGATAGATGATTTTGCATAATTGAAGGCAAGGAAATGTAAGATTAGATTCACTGAGATGTTACCTGTACTCAAGGTCAAATTAGAACTAGTGTTTCTCTGATATTGCAGTGTTTTTCTTTATTTTTCAAGTCTTTTTTTGTTTTTGCATTGTTGAAGATGAATAAATGTAGGATCTGTTGGCTGCACTCAAAGTGGTATTTGAGTTTGTTTCCTCAATATTACTATGATTATTTATTTTATCATTAATAAAGTTGAGAAGTATTCTCCTGTTCAGTTCATGGCTCTTAAACGTTCTTATTGCTAAACATTTGTCACTGGTCATGCAGTAGTGACATAGCTGGAGTTTACCCCCCCAACCCCCCCCCTTGAATTTCATGGGGATGACACCAAAGATGCTGCCCCAGGTGACACCAGAGATTCTGCCCCAGGTGACACCAACTCTAGTGACGCCTCTGATCTACAGTAGATGTGCACATATCACAGACCTTGGTATGAAAGCTCAAGTCAATGTTAATTTATGCCTCTCCCCCTCCCCTTCATTAACCCCTTGACTGTCGAAACCCCAAATCCTGAGGTGTCTTCTGGTGTTGAAAAATTTTTGGAACAAAAAAAAAAAAAAAAAAAAAAAAAAAAATCTTATGAAATAATAGAGAATCTTTTCCTGATGGTAATGACACCAAAAGAATGAAATCTGATGGAAAATTTACAGAATTACGCTCTTGCGAAGTTAGCGACCTCAGCAATATTTACGAATCGACAATTTCGCCCACTTTGAGCCCTATTTTCGGCTAATTCCATTGTTCCAGTTGACCAAACTCATAGCTATTTCTTTAGAACTCCATTTGTTCTATTGACTGAGCACAAAAAACTGCCCATTTACCAATTTCAACTACCCAACAATGTGGTCAAAAATTTGCAATTTGGCCAATTTCATGCAAATTAAAAAATATGCCAACTTCAAAATAGGGTCCAGAATGAATAATGCAGACATTCATGTCTCCAGGCCCCTCTGATATTACTCTTGCTTTCTATTTTGAATTTTTATTCAAACAAAAAATAGAAGATTTACTGTTATGCAGACTACTGCAATATTGTAATAATTGTATAAATAATGTCAACCCATTCATGACTGCATATTAGAATGGCTACTTGGACATTTATTGGACAATGACATCATTTGTTTACTTTTGAACATCAGCAAAAATCAAACATTTCCCCTACTTTGAGCTCCATTTCAAGGTTCTTTTCATAGTAAAATCAATCAAAATCACCTCTATTCTATAATATGTTTTCCACTCTATCAAATGAGACCAAGAAAACGAGAATACAATCATAAATACTATACAAAAATACACCACAAAGTTGGCATTTTAATCCAAAAAAACGGTCAGTTTTTTTTTCCTCATTATGCACTGCGTGCTGCAGGATTTTTTTTATGTGGTGCACACTGACCACACAGACCCATTCTCTCACATGTGGGCCTATTAGCTTTCTCCTGATTGATTTGAAGCCGCTAGAATTTTTGAGAATATACATGTACATCAACCTAGGTAGTAGGTTGGTAAACAGCAACCGCCCAGGGAGGTGCTACCGTCCTGCCAAGTGAGTGTACAACGAAAACCTGTAATTGTTTTACATGATGGTAGGATTGCTGGTGTCTTTTGTCTGTCTCATAAACATGCAAGATTTCAGGTATGTCTTGCTACTTCTACTTACACTTAGGTCACACTACACATACATGTACAAGCATATATATACACACCCCTCTGGGTATTCTTCTATTTTCTTTCTAGTTCTTGTTCTTGTTTATTTCCTCTTATCTCCATGGGGAGGTGGAACAGAATTCTTCCTCCGTAAGCCATGCGTGTTGTAAGAGGCAATTAAAATGCCGGGAGCAAGGGGCTAGTAACCCCTTCTCCCGTATAAATTACTAAATTTAAGAGAAACTTTTGTTTTTCTTTTTGGGCCACCCTGCCTTGGTGGGATACGGCCGGTGTGTTGAAAGAAGAAGAAGATATGTACATCAAACACGGTGGCTCGTAAGACATATATATACAACTGAAACAGTCAAAGGGTTAAACTACAAATAAAACAAACCTGCAACATTAACTGGATGCAAAGTAACTCCACCAAAAGCGAAGAATCCAATGATGGTCTGAAAGACACTCTTTGTCACGCCCACAACTGAGGTAGTGAGAGCACAATTGAGCATCGTACACAAAAACATTGAAAAGTTTAACAGCAGTCCCATTACCAGCAGTAGTGTGAAGATCATGTGGAAACTTGTATCTGAGAAAGCAAAATAATTTTGTTGATCAAACATAATTTTAAGTTACTAAACTTTTTATCTATATACTATATCTTGGTCATCCTTATACTCTACTCTGTTTTCAGTTCAATTGGGAAGGGAAGGGGGGTAGAAAACTGTGCAACTGCAAATGAAGCTGGGTCCCCAGACACACAGATGTTAAGGAAATGAACACACACACTCAGCCACTAGGTCAGCTATTCATGAACTACCAATTTCCCACAGGAATATTTCTCTCTTGGACTATTTTCCAGCACTCACATACCAATTCCATAATCAGTGGTAACAATGTTGGTCCAGGGTAGACTACAACAATTTTTTTTTCAAACTACAATTGGGTTTGGGAAGTTACACTCTTGCAATTTTGCATTTGACACACGATTCACCCATGGGTGAGGCATCTGCTACCTTTCTGTGCGAACTGCCAGGTAGCAATGTCAGTTCACCATATATTAAGTGACTGTCCTATCTATCAGAGCATACAGAATGCACTTCCAACATCAGCAACACCCTAATACACTCACTATAACTAGCCTCCTCACTGAAAGTCCCACCTTTAATGTAGACTCACTCCTTGAGTTTTTCATGAAAACTAACCTACTGCACCAGCTATGTATGGCTTCAATTTTGCACACACACTGACCCCCTACACCTCACCCTACCTTTGCACATCCTTACCCACATAGCTGCATGGCCTACACAGGTTTAACAAGTTATCTGAACTAAGATGTCTGCACACTTCTGACAAGATAGCAACTGAATGAATTATGGTGAATGCATTTCCTATTTCTTGTTTCACCCTACCTCAGTGGGGAAAAACCAGTGTTAAAAAATAATAACAACAATAATAATAATAACAGTAATAATAAAAATAATAATAAGAATTATATTGCTGTCTTCTCTTCCTCTCACTTCTAGAATGTGTATGACATGATTAAATGGGGTCAGCTGAAAGACCTTACTACAAATTAACAATACTGTATTGTTGTCATAATTTGTCTTTAAACATTAGAGCTGTCTCCTCTCAGCTTCTTCCTTGGTCAGTAAAGAGGCTATATTTATGAAAAGCAGGAACAGATATACAGTTCTTCTTCTTTCAACAAACCGGCTGTTTCCCACCGAGGTAGGGTGGCCCAAAAAGAAAAACAAGTTTTTCTTTTAAACTTTAGTAATTGTATACAGGAGAAGGGGCTACCAGCCCCTTGCTCCTGGCATTTTAGTCGACTTTTACGACGTGCATGGCTTACGGAGGTAGAATTCTTTTCCACCTCCCCATGGAGATAAGAGAAAATAAAGAAGAACAAGAACTATTAAGAAAATAGAACATCCAAGTGGGTGTGTGTGTGTACAAGTACCATCTGACTTACGACCAAGCTACTTTCTAACCAACCGGTCATAAGTCAAAATGGATGCAAATTGAACTTTATGCTTTTAGTACTGTATTTTATACTGTAAGGTTTAAGAGAAACACTGTGTACAACACAAACAGTTGTTTATTTGCATACAAAACATTTACATGCATGAAAAATACAAAAACATTTGTATGCATGAACAGAAAAGTACAAAATAAGTTAAGCTGTAAACAGTACGGTCGTAAGTACAAGTGGTCATACGTCAAGCAGGTCGTAAGTCGGATGGCACTTGTATATATTCGTGTATATGCATGTGTAGCGTGACCTAAGTGTAAGCAGAAATAGCAAGATATACCTGTTAACCTGCATGTTTATGAGATAGAAAAAACACCAGGAATCCTACCATCAGGTGAAACAATTACAGGTTTCTGCCTCACACTCACATGGCAGGACAGTAGTACCTCCCTGGGTGGTTGCTATCTACCAACTTACTACCTAGGAAATTTTAATTATAAAACAGTAATGTTTTATATTTAAAATTTCTCTCATTTGAAGAAATCAGCATAACCATAACTATAAAACCTCTCTACTTATGAGCAACAAAATACATATTGTATGACTTGCCTTGAATATACTCGTAGGTAAGGACATCTGTCAGTTCTCCTTGAAGAATAGTAAGAATAAGAAATGGAACAACAGAGATACAACTGTTGAGATGGAGAACATGCAGTGGAGAAAGATGGTTCTCACCACACTGTTGTAACAAGGTCTGTTGTAGAGACTGTAGTAACACACTCGCTCCTCCCATCAGAAATGCAAAGCCATTAAAGGTTGGGTCAGTCATTGCTGAAAGTACAATACCACAGCAAACCTTTAGTTAATTGTAATATTAACAGGTGACAAAAGCAGTGTATATGGTTTACTGAATTTATGATGCAGAAGGATTATGTAGATAATATGTCTGTCATACAGTCACAACTTCAACCCAGGAAGTTAAGGTAGTCCTGTCCCCATACGTATATTGTAGCAAAATAAGTCCTGAAGGTCAAGTACAGAACTCAAGCAGCAATTAAGGTAAAACTGCTACACAATATTAAAGTAAATAAGAGAAATTAGCAGACAAAATGTATATGTTAAAGTTACATAGTGAGAAAAGCATAACATTCTTGCCTAGTATTAACTCCATCTGGGTTGGATCCCATTGTGCTACAGCTTTGAAGCCCAGGTCAGTCCCGTTGTTCTACACCATGAACTCAGCTTTCTCAGATAAGCTGTGAGTGGTAAATTTGGGCTTTAATATGAGAGAATGGGTCTATGCAGTATGGGTGCACCCTTACCACAGCATGCAGTGCATAATGGGAAAAAAATTGCCACTGTATTTTTATTTTAAAATAGTGACTTTGCAGTGCATTTTCGTATGGTTTTTATGTTGGTATTGTCGGTTTCTTGGTATCATTTGAAGGAATGGAGAATATATTACAGAAATAGAGATGATTTTGATTGGTTTCAGGAGACTGAAAGTACTCATGAAATCGTAATGACACAATTGCAAACATACCATACCACGGGCAGGGTTAGAACCCACACTCAGAGTCATAGAACGCATTGGTCTGGAGTTTTATGATTTTCTGATTGTGGGTTCTAACTCCACCTGTGATGTGGTATGGACTGACAGTAGCTTGAAATTAAGACCAAAGTAGCAAAAATGTTCGATTTTTGCCGATATTCCAGAGTACACAAATTACGTCCCTCATCCAATACGCATTCACAAATGCACTGACATTATTTATACAATTATTACAATAATGCAGTAGTCTGCATAACAGTAAATCTTCTATTTTTTTGTGAAAGAAAATTCAAAATGGAAAGTAACTGTAATATAGGAGAGGCCTGGGGACATAAGTAATAAACAGAGGGAATATTTAATAACTAAATAACAAAAAGACACAATACTGTGACTGGAACAATACACATATAACCAGCACATAGGAGAGAGGAGTTTACGACGACATTTTGGTCCGACTTGAACCATTTACAAATGGTCCAAGTCAGACCGAAATGTCATCGTAAACTCCTCTCTCCTATGTGCGGGTTATGTGTGCAGAGGAAATATTTTCTAGTGCCAGGAATGTCTACATTGTTTATTCTGGACCCTGTTTTTAAATTGGCAATTCAAATTTTGTGTGAAATTGGCCAAATTACCACTTTCTGATCACTTTACTGGGTAGCTGAAATAGGAAAATGGGCAGTTTCTTCTACTCAGCTGTTAGAATGGAAGGAATCTGGGTGACAGGAACAATGGAATGGGCCGAAAATAGGACTCAAAGTGGGTGAAATCGTCGATGTGTAAATATTGCCAAAACTGCTAACTTTGTGAGCACATAATTCCGCAAGTTTTCCCATCAAATTTCATAGTTTTGGTTTCATTGCCTAATCAGGGGTTCTACCCCCTCTCTAAAAGAAAAAAAAAAGAATCACATTCATAGTCATCCATTCAATTACAGTAGGGCCCCGCTTTATGGCATTTTGCTTTATGGCATTCCACTAATACAAACATTTCAAATTATGACCAAAACTCACTATACAGCTCCCCCCCCCCACCTGACTTTCTAATACAGTCACTACGCCCACCCAGTTTGTTTACATTTTCCGTGAGCACCATGTCTCTCCATTATGTCTGGAAACTTTCTAAAATTTCAAGTGTTTTAAAAGTTATTTCATGTTTTATATATACAGTAGGGCCCCACTTTACAGAGTTTTGCCTTACAGCATTCTGTTAATACAGACATTTCAAATTATAGGTAGTAGGTTGGTAGACAGCAACCACCCAGGGAGGTACTACCATCCTGCCAAGTGAGTGTAAAATGAGAGGATGTAATTGTTTTACATGATGGTAGGATTGCTGGTGTCTTTTGTCTGTCTCATAAATATGCAAGATTACAGGTACGTCTTGCTACTTCTACTTACACTTAGGTCACACTAAACATACATGTACACGTTTATTTATACACACTCATCTGAGTTTTCTTTGATTTTATCTTAATAGTTCTTGCTCTTATTACTTTTCCTTTTACATCCATGGGGAAGTGGAATAAGAATCTTTCCTCTGTAAGCCATGCATGTTGTAAAAGTCAACTAAAATGCCGGGAACAATGGGCTAGTAACCCCTTTTCCCGTACAGAGTACTAAAAAGAAGAAGAAAATTGTCAAAGTGGGATGTCTGAATGTGTGTGGATGTTGTGCGAATGATAAGAAAGAGATGATTGTGGATCTTATGAATGAGAAGAAGCTGGATGTCCTGGCTTTAAGTGAAACAAAGCTGAAAGGGGTGGGAGAGTGTCAGTGGAGAGAAGTAAATGGGATTAGGTCAGGCATTTCAAATAGAGTTAGAGCTAAAGAAGGAGTAGCAATAATGTTGAAGGATAAGCTATGGCAGGAAATGAGGGAGTATAAATATATTAATTCAAGGATTTGGGGAGTAAAAAAATTTTGGGATTGAAAAGTGGGTTATAAAAGCATATGTATATCCCAACCGGGAGAAAGAAAAGTGAAAGGGGAGAGAGAGAGATTTTTTGGGAATTTGTTGAGTGGTGGGATTTTTTGAGTCAAGGTGAGATATTTGGGGTTTGGGTTTTCAATGCTAAAGTGGGTAAATATTTTTTGGGGAGAGAGTAGTGGAAATTTTGGGGGGTGCCGGGGGGTAAATAAAAAAATGGAAGCCTTTAATTGACTATGTGTAAAAGAGTTTTGGAAATAAGTAATACTGTACATATTTTTGAAAAGGGGGATAAAAAATAACAAGGTATGATAAGCACATAATAAAAGCAGTTTTTGGGATTTATAGGGGGGATAAAAGGTTGATGTGTAGGTTTCAATGTACATGTTTTTAAGGGGCAACTGATATATCAGATCATTATTTATTGAGCTATAGTTAGAGAAGAGGTAGTGGGGACACAATGAAAATGTAACAACAAGTAGAAAAGGCGAAGGGGGTATAAACAAAAAAGGAAAATTTGGGTGAGATATAACAACTTTTGGGCAAAAGTGGCAGTGCATGAGAGTAGGGGGGAGGGGGGGGGTTGAAGAGGGTTAGAACAGTTTCAAAAAGCATATTGAATGTGGGGGAAGTTTGTGGTTATAGGAGGGGGGGTGAGGGGAAAGAGGGGTGATTGGTGGAAGAAGTAAAGGGTGTGATAAAAGAGAAAAAAGGAGCTTATAGAGCTTTTTACAAAGCATAAGTGTTATAAGAAGGGGGAAGTAATGGAGATAAAAGAAAGGTGAAGAGAGGGGAAAAGTTAAAAGGAAGCAGATGATTGAGGGGAAGCAAAGTCAAGAAATTTGATGAAAAAAAAAAAATTTTGGGGAGAGAAAAAAAAAAGTTTGAAAGCCTAGGAACAAATGGGTTTTTTCAGTTAAAAACAGAGTAGGGAGTTTGTAATGGGAGATGATGTATTGGGTAGATGGCGGGAAAATTTTTTAGGAAAAATTTTTAAAAATCGACAAAGAAGGGAGGCATAATTCATGCCTGGCCAGGGAGGTATACATCTTTTAGGAGTGAAGAAGAGCAGGATGTGATTGGGGGAGGTGCATGAGGGTTACATAGAATGAAAGGGGGAAAAGTAGCTGGAACTGACGGGATCATGACAGAAATGTTAAAAGCAAGGAGGTTTTAAAGTGGGTAGGGGATGTGTAGATCAAGTGTTTATATTGAAGCATATAAGTGAACAGTATTTAGATAAAGGTATGGAAGTTTTCATTGCATTTATGGATTTAGAAAAGGCATATGATAGAGTGGATAGGGGAGCAATGTGGCAGATGTTGCAAGTACAGTGGAACCTCGCCTAACGAATGCATCGCATAACGTTAAATCCGCCTAGCGATACATTTTAACGCAAAAATTTTGCCTCGGCTAGCACTAAAAAACTCGCTCAACGCGGTTTGTTCGAGACGCGTCCACATGCGGCCTGAGCCCGCCTCACTTGTTCCGTGGGTGCCAGTGTTTACAAGCCAGCCACCGCAGTCGCTTCCAAGCATACAATTGGAACATTTCATATTATCACAGCCTTTTTAGTGATTGCACCTGCAAAATAAGTCACCATGGGCCCCAAGAAAGCTTCTAGTGCCAACCCTACAGCAAAAAGAGTGAGGATTACTATGGATAGGGAAGAAAGAGATCATTGCTAAGTATGAAAGTGGGGTTTCGTGTCTCCGAGCTGGCCAGGTTGTACACAAAACCCAATCAACCATCGCTACTATTGTGGCCAAGAAAACGCAATCAAGGAAGCTGTTCTTGCCAAAGGTGCAACTTTGTTTTTGAAACTGAGATCGCAAGTGATAGAATGTTGAGAGACTGTTATTGGTGGGATAAACGAAAAAAGATAGCAGGAGATAGCATCTCTCAAGCGATCATATGTGAAAGGCTAGGAAGTTGCATGACGATTTAATTAGAAAAATGCCTGCAACTAGTGATGATGTGAGTGAATTTAAAGGCCAGCAAAGGTTGGTTTGAGAGATTTAAGAATCGTAGTGGCATACATAGTGTTTAAAAGGCATGGTGAGGCTGCCAGTTCGGACCACAAAGCGGCTGAAAAATATGTGCAGGAATTCAAGGAGTACATAGACAGTGAAGGACTGAAACCTGAACAAATGTTTAATTTTGACGAAACAGGCCTGTTTTGGAAGAAAATGCCAAGCAGGACCTACATTACTCAGGAGGAAAAGGCAACTCCCAGGACATAAGCCTATGAAAAACAGGCTTACTCTGTTGATGTGTGCCAATGCTAGTGGTGATTGCAAAGTGAAGCCTTTATTGGTGTATCACTCTGAAACTCCCAGTGTGTTCAGGA